CTGGGAGCTTTGTTTTGTCCGGCTTTACCCCGAGCCGGAGGAAGGACCTGCCGTTGCAGGAGCATCGCTTTCCCCGGTAATTATTGCCCTCTTGTTTAGGCCTCAGGTCGGGCAAACTCGGGGAGCAGTGCGAAGCCGTCGTTCGTTTTCCCAGGCTCTTCCAGAAATATCCTTTCCCTATTCTCATTAATTCGGCTTTCCTAAAGCTGGCTGATGTTTTCAGAGTGGGGTAAGTAGCGTCAGTCGGTTTCTGCCCATTCAAATCTCTGGTCCGTAGTACCGCGCTGTACCTGGGAGCGTTGCTGCCTCGGAGCCTGAGCAGTCGCGGGGCTTTTCTGCTTGCCTGGTAATGCCCCAGGGGTTCCTGCTCCAGTGAGGAAAAGCTCTGCTTGGCTGAAGCTTGCTTTCCCTCTCTTTAGTGGGCTTAAGGGGCTGCGAGTGACCAGGGGCACACAGTTCCTGTCCAGCTGCCCCGATTTGAGGATTCACTTGCTAGCTGACTGGTTTAAGTTCACTGGTGTAAATTCTGCTCTGTAGGTGTGTTTAAATTCATAATAAATAGATGATTGATCACATGTGCAAATTCCATCTCTAAGGAATGTTAGCAACAAAGCCCAAAGTATAGCTTTTCCAAGTGTCAGATCTCTAAATGATGCGTGTGATGAAATTAGAGCTACTTTATAACAGCTTACAAAGTTATCTGTTGCTGTTGTGGAATCTTCACTATTAGCTCCAGGAAGGAAATTAGACTTTTCTGTCTTAGCCCTGGACATGTTTTTCTAGCAGAATGAGATCCCTAAATGTGCACAAAACAGGCATCTGCTTACAGTCCTCCTCACTGGTGTCAGCAGGTTCATTTCCCTGGAACTGGGCCTAAATTTGATGCCACCTGTACTAGAAAATAAAACAGGAGTATGATAGTCTCTTTTTTAACTGTATCAGTCTACTTAAATATACTATTTCTAAAGCATAGACTTCTTGTTTTAATTAACTCTCAGAAGTTTTTTTTTAAATCATTTTGTGTTTAAAGTGTTTGCATTTTTATTGTAAAACAGTCTGATAGAGAAATGTGTGTGTCTTCTAATAGAAACAACTTCCTGAGGCTGTGTGTGCTGAAAGTTACTCAGCAAAGTGAGAAGCACTTGGAGAAGATCCTAAATGTGGATGAGTTTGTGAAAAGAGTTTTCTCAGTAATTCATAGCAATGATCCGGTTGCTCGAGCTATTACACTCCGGTATGTATTACATAAATGAACCTAATTTACTTGAAATCTCTAGCTAATTATTAGTGTGCTAGTCTGGAATAACAAAATCTGCAACTACCATGAATGAGGTGTAGGAGGCATTTTCTACATTGGTCACAGAGATAAAAGCAAAGACACCTGTGTTAAAGGGGGTGAACAATAAGGATCTATGATCAGAAGAACAAATTTATTAACAATTCATGATGGTAAGAATTGTGTGGCTGGTTCCAGGCAAAATGGAATTTGCAACATTGAAATTCTGTGCTCTCAAGAAAAATCAAACTGCTGTATGCATAACTTAGATGTATGTAGCTATACGCAACATGATATATTGCATATGACATATTGTCATGGTTTAGCACCAGTTGGCAACCAAGCACCACACAGCGGCTTGCTCACCCCCCTTCCCAATGGGATGGGGGAGAGACTCAGAAGAGCAAAAGTACGAAAACTCATGGGCTGAGATAAGAACAGTTTAATAATTGAAATAAAATAAAATAATAATAATGAAATTGTCATGAAAAGGAAAGCAACAGGAGAGGGAGAGAAGAACAAAACCCAGGCAAAACAAGCGATGCAACCGCTCACCACCCACCAAACAATGCTCAGCCTGTCCCCAAGCAGCAATCACTGCCCCCTGGCCAAGTCCCCCCAGTTTGTATACTCCGCATGACGTCGTATGGTATGGAATAGCCCTTTGGTCAGTTCGAGTCAGCCATCCTGGCTGTGCCCCCTCCCAGCTTCCTGTGCAGCCGGCAGAGCATGGGAAGCTGAAAAGTCCTTGACTAGGGTAAGCACTGCTCAGAAACAACTAAAACATCAGTGTGTTATCAACATTATTCTCATACTAAATCCAAAACACAGCACTATGCCAGCTACTAGGAAGAAAGCTAACTATCCCAGCTGAAACCAGGACACATATTTTTGACCAAGACCAAAAGGAAAGTGCTTCCCTATGTGTCAAAATAATTTTTGTTAACTTGTAAGTAAAACACTTATGAACCTTGTTATGTTTGCACCTGTTTTTCATTTGTTGTTGTAGAAGTTTACTGCTTCTTGGTCTCTGATGATAACTTCTAAGGGAATGTCTTGTATTAATTGTTTTGGCCTTGCTAGGAATCAAATGAAGAAAAAAATATAAATTATCTTTAATGTCACTGTCCTGCTGTTTTGGTGTCTGCATCTCTAACACTACCCAACACAACCATGTTAACTGCATCTTCCAACTCCTGTGCAAGTGAATTCGAATATGAAGAGAGCACTCTTTTTCCTTTTGTATTCTCTCCTCCTGTCCATGTAGAACTGTTACTGATTTCATTATTGAAAGATGAGAGGCATTAACAGGGGTTTGATTAGCTCCTAAGTTAATTTCTTTTAATTTTTAATTTGAGATTTTGCTTTCATGCTCAGTGTCTCAGAAATGTGTGAGCACAGTCTATGTTTTCTTGTAGTTCCACTTATATAAGATTACACTTCTTGATTGGCATTGAGGGCTGTCTTGACATACTCCTAGAACTCCCAGGAATGTGCTCAGTTGGAAGAATACTTAAATTATAAATCAATTAATAGGATGCATCAAGTGAAAGGTTAAAATGGCTTTTGGTTCAGCATTTTTGGTTTTTGCCCTCCTTAAGTACTGTCAGTAAGAAAAACATGCTGAAGGAAAGATCTGCTAAAATAAAACTTTGTGTCTGGGCAGGATTTTTATTGCTAGATAACTGTGTGTAAATATTTGCATAGAACTCTTGCTAAAATTACTATCAGTGCAAATCATGTGTTCATTCTTCTTTTAACTGGATTATGCCAAATATGTCTGAAAAGTGTATTTGAGATATTCTTAGCAAAACTGTAGATACTTTGATTTGTTTTGTTCCCTTTTTAGCAGTTGTGCAAATGGTATTGCACTATTCCCAATAATAACCTTATCTCAGATCAGCAAATGATCTTAGAAACAAATTATGAAAGTCCGACATTTACTTGCTTGATCATGGTAACACAAAGTTTTTAGAAACTTTGCTGTCTTAGCATGTGGTTAACCTTTATGACTGTTCAGACATTTGTCACTTAATTACTTCTGCAGTTTTAATTGGCAGGAGGGTGGAAACAGTTCTCTGCTTTTTTTTTAATCCCCCTAGACTACCATATTTCTGATTTTAAATCCCATGATGTGTACTTCATGTGTGTCTGAAAATAGCTGTTGTATCAATATCAGAACTTGATCATAAAAGTTACTTGAGAACGCTCAATGTTCCTAGTGCCATAGTACACTCTTAATTTTATTGGCATTCTTGGTAAGTTTCTCACTGTGCCCATGTCAAGGTAAAAGGTACCAAAGTATAGTTATTTTTTATTAAACGCTAACATAAGCCACATGACAAAATTTGTGACCGTTTAATTATATGCCTACTTTTAGCATTTGTTTGTTTCTGTAATAGACATGAAAGAGTACGTATTTATATTAAAAAAATGAGTCTTTTAACAGTTCTTTTACCTTTCTGCTTGGTTTCATCTTGCATTTCTTCATGATCATTGTTTCTGCTGATTTTGCTGTGATTTATTTCTGTAGGATGTTGGGCAGCATGGCATCTATTATTCCAGAAAGGAAGAATGCACATCACAGTATTCGTCAGAGTTTGGATTCCCATGATAATGTGGAAGTTGAAGCTGCTATATTTGCTGCTGCCAACTTTTCTGCACAATCAAAGTAAGATGTAATTTCTTCATTTTTTTCATATTGCAGAGAATAGAAACTCCATTGATCTGTCATTCATAAAACTTAATGTTTTATTTTGTAGTGCTAGCCATGTCATTTATAGCAAAACATTTAATTATGTGCAATAACAGTATTGTAAAAAAGTCTGAAAATAAGTTTAACAGAAATCTGTCTTTTTTTTTTTTTTCTAAAATGCAGACTAATGGAAAGCTCATAAATAGGGGAATGCAAAGTGGAATACCAGCTTTAATCAAGGATTATTTTACAGAAGTTATATTAGGCAACTAAATGTAGCAATGCTTGTCAGTTTTACAAATTTTTTGAAAGGTTCTATTTTATCATTTGATCATGCCCATGCACAGGGATTCTAAAATGACATAGGTCTTGGTAAGCACTCTTTTGTAGAAGTTTTTATTGTTAAAATGCAATGTTTGGTAGTTAAGTTGATTGATTTTTTTTTTTTTTTTTTAATTTCACTTGGTACTTTGTATTTTCTTTACAGGGATTTTGCTGCAGGAATATGTAATAAAATCAGTGAGATGATTCAAGGTACGTACACATATCAAATGATAAAGGGAAAGCTCTTAATTTCTTTGGGAATTCTTTATTATCTGTAAATGAATATCAGATATCAGAATACTGTTGCCTTTATCCTCAGATGATTCTAGTTTTTTAAATTAAATTAGCTAGCCAGTAATCTAATGTCTGGCTCTTGTGTCCTTTTAAAAATCTGACTTTTCAAAATGCATGTTTGGTTAAGATTAAAAAGCTCATCTATAGTTCGATGAATGAATTTAACATAGACTATCGCTGGTTGCTTCAGGTGAGTTAATATGTGTGCTGCTTGCAATGAAGCAAGGAGCAACCTTTTCAGAACCATGAAAGTGCTTGATACAGCTGTGGTTATGCTGCTAGCTTAGTAGGTAAGTTATTTGAAGCTAAGGCAAGTGTCTGCACAATCTGCATTCAGCAGTGGTAGCAATGCAGACTTACTGTATGCTTCAGTACTGCCAAAGGTCAATGCAAAAGACTAAGGCTCTGCCTGTCTCTCTCCCCTGTTGCAGGTTTAGCCACACCTGTGGACTTGAAATTGAAGTTGATCCCTATTCTCCAGCACATGCATCATGATGCTAGCCTGGCCTCCAGCTCCCGGCAGCTGCTTCAGCAGTTGGTAACGTCGTATCCCTCTACCAAGATGGTCATTGTTACTCTGCACACCTTTACTCTGCTTGCTGCTTCTTCTTTGGTTGACATTCCTAAACAGGTAATTCTTCCTAATTCATTCCTTCAATTTAAAAGTACAAAGTACACTTAAAAAACCTCAGATTCTAGCTGATGCCAAAAATAAATCATGACCAATATGCTAGGATGGTTGCTCCTATGTGGTATAGAGAAAGAATACCCTGAAAACTGCTGCTGCTTTCATATTTTTTGCCCTCTCTGGTCCTGTTTCCAGATAACCCCATTACACACAGGGACCCTTCTTTTATATCATAACCTGTCTGTCTTTAAATCAAATGGGATTGAAATCAACTAGGATCAATCAGTGTTTAGGAAAGCAACCTGACTTTTGCAGAAAACATTTCATCTTACCTGTAGAACCCACACTTCACTTTTCACTGCTGTGTATTCTCTTGGGTGATGGATGTGCCTTTTGCCTTCCTTGCATGCAAGCAAATGAATATTTCAATAGCATAGAGTGCATTTAAAAATGCATTTCTTGAAGAACTCTGAGGAATTTGAGTCAGTTGCTGTAATTTAGGACTATAAACTAAGTTGTGGGAAAGCAGTGATGGAAAAATACAATGCTTTTATGTTCTGATAATGTGCTTTGTGGACGTGATTTATATAGCAGTTCTGAACACAGTGGCATTTGAGATTCATCTAACTAATCCTTGTAAAGTAGTCATGACAATTATTTGCTTTCAATCCTGTACAGCTCTGGAAGTCTGGTGTCTGTTACTGTTAGACTAATAGCATTGATCTGTCTGAAACTTCTTTTTGGTATGGCTGATTTCTGTATTTCAGAGGATGCTTTTGATAGTGCTGAACCTGAGCCAACTGAAACAACATTAGAACACTTGATGTGCTTTGTTTTGGTTTTTTTTTTTTCCTTATGGTGGCAAGCATGGTGCTTTCAGCTCTATTCTGCAACGCAACAGCCAACACTGCTTAAAAGTGATGTAGCTGGGGTGGGGATGGAGAGTAAAACCATGGCTGGCATGTTCATGCTTTTTCATGTGCTGGCTATTCAATCTCTAAATTTGCAGGAAATGAACACAACAAAGAACATGAAGTTAAGTGTCACTTAATTTGAGATAAATGCTTTGGAAGGGGTAGGTAGGATTTGGGTTTGTTTGGTTGTTTTTTTGGAGTTGTTCTTGGCAACTACTGAGATGTACAAGGTATGTCTGTGTTGCTGTCTGTTAACTGCAGATCATGCAGACACCTGAGTTAGCATCAAATGCCCAGAATACTTGCTAGTAGTATAATCAGGACAGTATAAAGTGTTTACTGAGCTTCTCAGGTATGTTTTATGGTATTTCTGTGAGTGGCAAAACAGGTCTCAAGGCTTCTTGGGTATGCAGGGTGACGTAGAGAAGGGTGCCTGAACAAAGAGAGCAGGATGGTAGAAATGGGCTGTCAGACTGTTTTAGCTTGCCACAGCATCACAGTAGGGGCTTTTCCATGTGGCAAGCAATCAGACAGATAAGGTATGTTAGTTTTGGCTGAGTATGCTCAAAATTTCTTCACTACTTCTTCAAACTACTTTTGAAAAGGCTTTCTTCTAGTAGCACCTCTCTCATAAGCAATGGATTTACTTTGTTGCAGATCCAGCTTTTGTTGCAGTACTTGAAGAATGACCCCAGGAAGGCTGTGAAGAGGCTTGCAATCCAAGATTTAAAGTTGTTGGCCAACAAGACACCACATACATGGAGCAGAGAAAATATTCAGGTTTATACATTTTTAAGCTAAAGTTTACTATGAAACTTTGCAATTAGTTGTAGAATTCTTTTGAGAAGAACAATTTGGGAGGTAAAAAAAGGAAGAACATACAACTCCATATCCTTAAGTTAGGTTACCATGCCAAGCAGACTAGCCAAGTATTAATGAACAGTTGAAGAATTACAACTGAGGAAAGGCGTGTGTCTTGTAGTAGGCGTTTTTACAGTAAGGAAGTAACTTTTTCATCTGAAAAACTCATCTAAGAAAATAGACATGAGAACTGAATGTTTACATTAATCTTACAATACTGAGCATGTATTAATGCTCTCATGTAACAACACAGAGTCTCTCTGGGATTTGTCAAAGCGTGTCATCCAGCAAGGTGTACTTGAAAGGACAAATGTAATTGTGACTTCATTTCTTAGGATTAATGGCTCATTTTCAATAGTATCCTTGTGACTCTTGTATGAATGAGACCCTAGAAGGTGTTTACAGTGCATCTGTGTTATTTGGGGAAGCAGTTGTTACACTGTAGACAGTATTGTTGTTTTCTCCCAGTTGCTGTTGCATAGGAACATTTTTTTTCTCCCTGTCTTTCCCTTTTTCTGGTAAAAATGACTATAGAAAATAACTTCAGATTCAATTAAGATTCTAAAGAGAAAGTAATTATTTCAAGAATGGGCACAGGCTTATAGCTCTACTTTTCTGGGTCTTTGTTTTTACTACTCTTAGAAGCTACTTTTGCTATATACTGTTCGAGCATAAGGCAGCTGGGAAGAAAAACTGTGAATTTTTAATAATCATGTGAGAAATAAAGCATGTTTTGCTTTGTTCTCAATTCTTAGATAAAATCATTTGGAGTGCGCAGAGGTTTTTATTTTAGTGAATGGTTTTATTGTTCATAATGGATTAATGCCAGAAATTTATTTCCTTTTAGGAATTTCACAGAATTCTTTTAATGGCTTATGGATTCTTTGCAGTCAAAATGCTACTCTATACCATTATGCTTCGTTGGTAGTTACCTCGGTACAAGTGAGAGGCATTGATAACATGGCTTTAGTAGGTGTCCTGATGGTTGGAATGCATAGGAAAAAGTTCCACTGATGTAGGAACTAAACCAGTGACTGGGTTAGAACAAAATTAATTGACTGAAGCTTGTTATTGCTTGCTGAATGGCATGCAGTAGTAATGAGAATTTTTCTGACTTCTAAAATATATAGTCAACATTTTGAAATGGGCAACTCTTTTTTTTCCATATGTGTAAGTGTCTTGGTAATGTTTATGCAAAAGGGACTGGAACAGACCCTGCTTTTCTCATGGCAAAACCTGCTTATACCTTTTTACTGACAAGAGTTTCAGCAGTGTTAACTTCTTCAGTGTTTTGGGTCTGTCTGTGTAGGTCAGATAGGAGGCTTGGTCTTCAAATTGTGAAGACTTCACTGACTTCCAGACACCAGCTTTAGAAGCTGTTGCTGTTGATGCTTAGAGAAGTCCTCCTACTGACTGTGAAGGTAACAAGCAGTCTGCAGTCCATCCTGCTAATTCTCTGCTCGTGGCATTCTTCATAGTTACTCTTTCAAAGAGTGGTGATCTAATGGCGCTGGACTGAAACATCAGCGTCTTGGGAGGCATTAAGACTTACTTTCAGTCCTAATCATGGTATCTTTTTCTGTATGTTGATGCCATGCTATTCAAGGGAGTAGCAAAATACTCCATTGGTACACATTACAAGTTTATTTAGAATTTAACCCTTACACTATACAAGAACGTACGTATGCCTGCTAAGAACACTGTTTGGGGGTTTTACTTGTTCTGTGGAACTGATTCTGTGTTGTTGGTTTTCTGCAGTTGCTGGGTGTTATCATTCAGCTTTGGCACTCTCTGAGGCAGAATATACTTACATTTTCCATTTGTCTCTCGTATTGCTTTCTCTTACGTTGACTAAAAAAGCCTCCAAAACCAGTGAATGACTAAGTTGCGGACTGTGTTGGCATAATAAATCGGAGAACAATGTGAATTTTAAGAGTTATTCTAATCTATATGTGATAAGGCCTGAGGCGATCTGGCAAGAGGCACAAAAGTATGGCAGGAGCTCTCTATAAAGGAGTTAAAAAAAATAAAATATGCTTTAAGATGTTTATCAAGAAACTTAAACTGTATTCTGTTAGGCACCAGAACTGTTAAAGGAGATGACACTTGAAGCTTTGGTCTTCAGAGATGTGTACTTAAAACAATCTGCAGGGTTTTATGTAAGGCAAAATAATCAGTATAACTGTAAGACTAGAGATCTGTCTTAAAATATTTTGCAATATTTGGTCAATGAGATGTGATAATATTTTTGCCACCAATTTTTAATTAATAAATGACTTATAATTGGTGTTTCCTAGCATATGAGACCACTGTCACTTTCTGCAAGCTATTTCCTCAGTCTACTAAAAGAGATGCCTCTGGACATGACTTCTAACTTTTTATTTCAGTATACTATTTTCTGTTGAAAAATCCTGACTCTCAAAACTTTTCAGACAAATGCAACTAAGTGTTCAATACAGATAGCTCATGGAATTCCCTTACCTTCTTTTCTGCTGCTAATCTTCAGGCACTCTGTGAATCTGCTCTTCAGACTCCTTATGACAGCTTGAAGTTGGGCATGCTATCTGTTCTTTCGACGTTATCAGGGACCATTGCCATTAAACAGTACTTCAGCAGTGCTCCAGGTAGGAAAACTAGATTAGATCGTCTTTGTCATTTCTAATGGATTGGCTGTCTACTGATGATCAGTTTAATCTTTGCTCACTTTGGAGCATATTCTTAAATTATTTCTGAACGTCAGAACATTAGCTGAGACTCAAACTGCGTATGTGAACTTAATGGGACACTGTATACCCATGAATAGTTACGGTCTAAGATTTTGTTCTGTATTTTGTGGGTAATACACTATATGAAAGGGGTTTTTACCTTTGGGTCTTCAACTTTTCCTCGTAAAATGAAAAAATGTAACGCTTGTAAAATAGCTGACCTGCATTCTGCTGAAACATTAGCCTTCAGACCCAAATATTCTTTCTCATGTATGTCTAACTTGTACAGTGTTCGGGAATGGAGGGAGAGCCTCTGTTTACGTGTGGAGAGAATGTTTTCATCCTGTCCTTTAAACATATGGAAAAAAATTAATCCTAGGTCAATACAGATTTTTTGCAGAAATGTACTTGAAAAGATTTGTGGTGTAATTATGGACAGTGCTGTTTTACATCCTGTTTTCCTTGTCTTTATTTAGGAACAGCAGCTACAACGGTGAGATCATTTGATTTAGTCAAACTAGCACAGGAGTGCTGTTACCATAATAACCGTGGCATTGCAGCTCATGGTGTGAGAATTCTGACTAATATATCAGCCTCTTGTCAGGAAAAAGGTAAATGAAAGTAAGGACAATGAAATGTATCTGTTTACGTTCAGGCTTATGCACTTAACGCGTATTAACTGGTCTTGCCTGTGAACCTGTCTGCAAATCTGTCTGATCCTTCATGCTGCTTAGGGAGAATGGGGACTGTAGTCTAGTAGAAAATATTCTGTATGATTTTATGAATGGTTGGGTAGACTTTATCTTCATCTAATTTAGAGAAAATTAATGGGCACAGTAGAACTTGTGCTAAATAAATGCTTGTTTTACCTTTGCTGTAAGACTAGTGAATTGTCTGTCAGCCTTTGAAAACTCTTAGCACGAAGTCTGTTGCAAGTGAATAACAAGGTATCTAGAAGTCTTAGTCAGAGATTTATGCACAGTCTACACAGTTGGTGTGACTGCTGAATAGTTACTTGAGACATGGAATGGGAGGATTGTTTCCAATCAAAATAAGGTAAGGCAGAAGTATTAGAAAGATGCTTACCTGTCATGACTGCAACACCAGTGCAAGCATTCTGGCCAATTATGGTCAGAAAATGTGATAGGGAACTAACTTACTGTGTTTATCTTCTCTTAGATCTTCTGCCTTTGGAGCAAGATGCAGTGTTTGGCTTAGAATCTCTTCTTGTTCTTTGTAGTCAAGATGACAGTCCAGGAGCTCAGGCAACCTTAAAGGGGACAGTAATGTTGTCTTGCCCTATAATTTTTAATAATAGCTTGTATAACAGAAAGGCTAGTGTGTACCAGATCCTTTCTGGTGGAAGCATAAAATACTGGAAGGAAACAAAGATTTTTGTTTGGCCCATAACTGGAGTTCAGAGCAGCAGAGAAACTGAGCACAACTATAGTGCAACTCCTCTCAGCTCTAGAGTAAGTCAGTTGTTGTAGAGGGGAAAGAAAACGCATTCCTCTTAGAGGAACAGCTGTAATAAAACAGGAATTTGAACATGGGGTGGAGGAGTGTCTGGAGGATGAAGAGAACCTTGGAGAGAACCTGCTTTTTGGAGATTGGGATGCAATGTACATTGTAATAATGCTCTTATAAACTTATTTTCATTTCCCCACTTCATAAGCTGCTACCAGTTATTTTGTGATATATTTTTGTGCTGTGAGCTCAGGGACAGAGGCTTGGGCTCTTAGAAAAATTTTACTTTTGTAGAGTACATGGTTCTGAAAAGCTCAGGGACAGAGGCTTGGGCTCTTAGAAAAATCTTAACTTTTGTAGAGTACATGGTTCTGAAAAATATCATATCTTCTGTATTTCTGTAATCATACTTGCAGATAAGCACGTCTGGCTTTTTTATTTTTAAGTAGACATTGTGTTTATTGTATCTGTTGATTGTGTGAATTGCAGATCACATTAACTTGTATGGTGAAGCTGGTCAAGTGCCGTCCTCATCTGAGCCAGTCAGTAGTTGAATCCCTGCTGACCCAGTTGCACAGTGCCCAGGACGCTGCTAGGATTCTCATGTGCCACTGTTTAGCAGCTATTGCCATGCAGCTGCCTGTCTTAGCAGATGGGATGCTAGGGGACCTAATGGACCTCTATAAATTAATTGGACGATCTACCACAGATAAAAAACAGGAACTCTTGGTAAGACCTTCTGGTGGATAAAGTCTATATGAACTACTGTGGATGGATTTTATTTAAAAAGGCAGCTAAGCCACTTGTTGTGTCCAAGCTGACGTGCTAGTCTATAGCCTTATTTTTGTTTTGCTTTAACTTTTGACTACATATGTTAGCGTTCAATGTCAAAAATCACATCTCCTAGATGGAGCTGAACTTTGCAGTGTATTCCATTAGATTTTCCAGCAGATGGCACTGCTTAGACAAACCCAGCTATTGAAATTATTGGGGTACCTGTGAAATAATGCTTATAGAAAAACAAAATGGCAGTTAGCTCAATTTATGTATGGTATTCTGATGCACATGACTTCTAATATACTCTAAGAGATAAAAATGCTTTTATTACATCTATTTGGAAATGAATTTGAATTTTAAGAAAGAAATTACAAGCTTCCCATTAATTCATCTGGAGCATTTGCAATATCTCAGTTAAAAGCCACAGTAAAAATTCTTTAAATGAAATTACTTTCATGGGTTGCCATAACTACTTAAAAGATACATGACTGGGAAAAGTTCCTCGGTTAAAATGTATATGTAATCTTCTGTGTAGTTTTGAGTCCAAAATCAAGCAGATAATTTCTGGTAGTTTAAGAAACAGAATTGGGGTTTTTTTTCTAGCTTTGTTTAGCTCCTGAAATATAACCTTCTTCCTCACCCCTTCATTCTTCACTAGGTTTCTCTTGCCACAGTGATATTTGTTTCCAGTCAGAAAGCTTTATCTTCAGAAATCAAAACTGTTATCAAACAGCAACTTGAGAACGCCTCCAATGGATGGACAGCCTACAGGATAGCCAGGCAGGCTTCCAGAATGGTAAGTGAAAATACCTGGAGGAAAGTGGTTTGGTGTTGTTAGAAGGATGCTAGTGTTTTCTTTGAATTGGAAAAAGAAAGTAAGGAATATGGTAAGACTTGGGAGGAGGAAGTGAATGG